TCTCATTTTATTTGAAGAAATTAGAATACTTACTATTGTAAGTAGAATGTACGTTGTGATGTAATGGATAATGGCTCGGAATGAAAAATCAGAGAGCAGAGTTCGAATTCCAGTCGGGTTCGTTACATTCACTTACGCGCAAATACCGCTGGGAAAGGTATGAAGCCATCATAGCTATGGATTGAATAGCAGGACAGACTCGGTCCTTCCACTCAGTCCTTCGACTCGGCTGGCAACCAGTCTACCGCAGAAAAAAACGGCAACCTAGTGCGGGAAAATCTCCTGTCTAATCAGTCATGAATCGAATGAGACATGATCGCCCAATCGTGTATCACGTATGGCACTCACCTGAAAAAACCAACAATTATTTAAATAAACAAAGGTATGGTGAGCCGAGTTCGCCCAAGGGTGTATAGCGGGTGGCATTTAACTGACTGACTATTGTAACAGTCCGCAACATCAAAATAGTCGGTCCTTATTGTGTAATTGAAGGACACACATTTGGACCATCAATGAAAAAAAAAAAAACGTAAAAAAATCGTGTTGGACTACCGAACTAAAATACCAAATTGTGTACCTGTATTAGACAAAGGTTAGAAGTTTATACCGCTTTTTCAACTCAAAATCCAATACTAGTATATTTAAAAAAAATTGAGTTATATACAAATGAATCCGGTAGTTTTCCAAGCAATGTGTTAAATAGCAGGGTAGATTATTCTCTGTAGCTCTGGTAGAGCAACCACTTCAGGAGAACTTCAAATTTGTAGAGAAAACAATGGGAAACTGTACCACGATCTTTGCCATGAGCAATCATAGCAATGCACAGTTTACGGATAATGAAAGGAAAAGGAGCAGGTCACAAATAATTGAAAGTAAATTTCCGTCCTGGGTATGACGATAAAGTTTATCCGGCAGCAAGGCCTCTGATCAGGAGGTTTTGAGGAGCAAATCACCTCTTATTTGTTGTTGTTCCCAGGTCCACCCTGACCCAGGGTGGTAGCACCTGTTAGGGTTCCAGCTATGGGCAAATAGTTATTCCCCCCCCCACACCAAAGTATAAAAACAGATTTTTATAGTAAAAATACCAAAAATACATAAAAAAAATATATTACCAGCAATACTTTTGACTCCCGGCAAAATCCTCTTTCCAAAAATACGTCAACGAAACCTGATCTATAAACTGGTTTCTTACAAAGAATATGTATCCTATATTCATACGAACCTATCTTAAAAATGTTGTCGACATTTAAATAACCTATTGAGATTGATAGGAAGTAAAACAAAATAAACTAAACCAAGTAAATTTCAGTGGACGGCATATTAGACACATGGGTGTATAAGACGCACCCCAATTTCAGCAGGGCAAATCAAGAAAAAATTAGTAATTAGTAAAATTATTAGTAAATGATACAGCCGAGGCTTTATTTATGAGGTATTATTTTGGTTAAACAAGCCATGATTATAATTAAACGAAAAAAACAACACAAAACAAAATAATAAAACAATAATAAAATCTTTATTATATCCAAAGGTAAGAAAACAAAATAAAAATCAAGCAATTATTACAATTGATCAAAACAGTACAGTTACCATTAAAATTCAGTCAAAAATGTTCCTTTATATGATCTGTACAACCTACGTCTTGTAAACGTCTTAGTGGAATAATTAGGATATAAAAATTCTGATTTATACCAATGCAACTGGAAGTTATCGCAAGAAAAATATTAATGAAATAAATTATAAATATATAATTTGAATTTATTACATATAATTTTAGTGAAACACAGTACTAAACGTGATGAAATTAATATAATGAATATTATCAATGATAACACTTTTAATCTGCATAACAGCCTTTTAAATAATGACAATAGGTATATGAAAGGTACTCTAAAGTCTAAGCTTAATTTCGGCCGACTATCGCTAATTTCAAACTTACATATGGAATATAAGACAGGGGAATTTTAAAAGATATTTTTAGTTAAAAAAAAGTGCGTCTTATATGCTGCCAAATATGGTAATTATTGTCATAGACTGAATGCAAAGACCGTTGTACGCTTCGGCCTTCTTCAGTCTACCCTGGTGAGCGAAATAAAGGGTTCAGTTCGACATTCCAACCACCTGAAGAAGGCTGGAGCGTACAACGGCCGAAACGTTGTAATAAATACGGCGACAAAGATGAGGACAATAGTCCGAATAATGTAAATAATGTACATAATACCTCATCTCAGAAATATAGACAGACTCTGAATGCAAAGAATCTGTTTTTCCGCAAATACATACATATATATATATATATATATATATATATATATATATATATATATATATATAGGTAAAAAAATGTATCCTTTTTTCGCTGTTTTATTTCACTAAGTTTTATTCTCCAGTTTTGGGAAAGAAAAAACAAAACAATTATCAGGACATTAAAAAGCCATCTCAATCTCCAAAACAAATGAATAAATAAATAAATAATAATAATAATAATAACAACGTTTCTTTGTAACTTCTATCAAAATAAAGCAAACACATAAAATCGGGATGCTGAAAAATCCTCAGTCTGAACCACTTCCCCAAATCCGACTAAATATCAACCTTTTAACAAATATTTTGGAAAGGCCTCACGGTCTACAGTGAATCTATTCTGAATCTAATGTCCAACCTGGTGGTAAACAGAGAAGAAATATATTCATTATACCAGCTCTACAAAATTAACTTGCAAATATATACACGGTGGCAATAAAGTCACTATACTGTTCCTTACAATAACAATTAAGATAAAGCAATTAATCAACAGTCCAGAAATTTATTATTAAAACGGTTCTGTTTAATTCTGTTTAATACCAATAAACAATAGTAGACTAATTACCGATACTGTTCGAAATGCAATCCACCTGCTTCAGTACATTTACTACAACATGAGAGAATGCTTCAAATGTCACAACACAAATGCTTCTAAAGGCTTAACTCTGCAAATGCATCTCGAATAAATTGCTTGAGGTCACCGATATTTCTCTGTTTCTTTGCAAAAACGAATCTTTGGTAATTCCCCATATAATTTTTATTATAAGTAACTGTATCGTGACTTTATTGCCACCCTGTATATATAGGAGTAGATAGGTTCTCCTACCACCCGGTTCACACTCCTCTCCGGTTTTTTGAACAGGAGTAGACGTTTATTCCTTTGTTTTCAGTTTAGGATTGGGTTTCCGGTTCCTTCTAAAGACTACTTCAGCTCTATGCTCTTAACGTTTGTCTTCTTCTACTCTCATATAACTCCACACAGTAACGCTCTACCTTGAGTAGCTCTTGAGCCTTGTATTGGGTGAACATTATTAAAAAATAAACAATAGATAAATATATATAACGACTAATATAAATATATATATAAAAGTAACATAAACTATTTATGCACAAAAAAACTATATACAAATATTTTTAATCAATTCACCCCAAGCAAAACAATAAAATTACCAAGACACAAGCGTGTGGAAGAAAAAGATAAAAAAGAGAAACATTATTAAGGAGCGAGAACAATAAAAGAGGAATTAAGGAAACAGTAGATAACGATTGACATTGCATTTAAATTTTTGAAGTTCAAGGTTGGTTAGAAAGCAAGAAGCCTGAAGATATTTCCACAGGCGAGAAGTGCGGGTAAAAATCTGCTAGCAAAGTACTTACGGTTACATCTAGCCAATTCAGCTGTAAAATAATGAGACCTTATTGCCAATCTAGTACTTCGTTTAAATTCATAAAGTCTAGGTATCGTAGCGAAGAGCTCTTCCTAACAATTACCATGGAAGTATTTATAGAAAAGGCACAGGAAAGCTACATCAAAGCGCTGGGAAAGTGACTGAAGCGGGGATGTCAGGTCAGGGCCAATAACATTGCAGATCCTTTTTGTATTTTATCAAGAATCTTTAAATATATAGCAGGAGCACCATACCATATATATAAAAAATAATATAAAAACTAATTAAAACTAACTATAAATATATATAAACTAATATAAATTACATATATATATATATATATATATATATATATATATATATATATATATATATATATATAAACTATATATAACATAAAAATAATATAAATATATAGAAGACTAATGAATATATATAAAGATATATAAATCAATATAAACTATCTAAAATATATATAAACTAATCTGAAGTATATATAAATATATATAATCTTTATATAAAAAATATATAAAAACTAATACAATATATATAAAACCTATATAAAAATATATGCAGAAAACTAACATAAATATAAAAAACTAATATAATCTATATATAAATATATATAAACTAATATAAACTATATAAATACATATATTGAGACTAATATGAACTATATATAAACTATATATAAATAACTATATACAAATATAAATAAAATGAAACCAAATATTGATTAAATCCGACAAACTTTTAATAACTTGGACTTTCATAAATTTAACGTTTCATTTGTATTTAAGCTTAATCGGGAAAAATTTAAAAGAAAAAATTTGATGATGCCTAAAAAATGGCGAAAATATTAATATTATCTTTTATTCCTTACTTTATCATATAAATATATTTTTGATATGATTAGATGAGCTCGCTTATTGTCCTCTCTCTCTCTCTCTCTCTCTCTATCTATCTATCTATCTATATATATATATATATATATATATATATATATATATATATATATACACATGTTTGTGTTTGAATTAATAATCAAAATAGAATTAATGAAAGAATCTGTTTCTGTTTTTTTGTTGTTTTTTTTTTTTTGCAATTTTGAAAAGACGGGAAATAAAATAACTTGGAAGGAAAAATTGACATGGTCCTAGATACGTTTAATCGGCGCAAACAAATATAACTTCAGCGTGATTTGCATGCATCTAGCTACTTAAGTGTATAAAAAGTTTAGAATGTCAGAGATTTCAAATCAGTTCTTTTCTTTTTTTTCTTTTAAGAAAATAATTGATGAATTCTTACCTGAGAATCGGATAGTTAACAAAGGAAGAAATGTCCTCTTGTGCATTTCACTTTCGAACCGCATTGTCCAGGCCCATTTTTTTTTTCGCTACTTTTAATCCTCGTTGTCGTTTTTCGCACGAGTTATTGATCAGAGTGTTTGTCTATACGACAGAAATCTAACAGCCACCCACCCACTCCGGGGAACAATTCGAAAAATCACAATGAGGCAGCTGGCACACGTAGATAAAATCTGTCCTTACCTTCTGATCAATGTCGACAGTCTTAATTTGAATATTTACACTCGTTGACCAAATTTTCTTAGTATCTGTTTAAAGAAAACTTCAAACTATTGGCAGACCTAGGGGACAGGAGGAGCGGTCAACCCCTGGGTTGCAAGTTTCTTGGGGGAGGGGTTGGAAACGCTTACATGAATTAGTTAATGAAGTAGCATGAAAAATAAGATGTGGTATTTTCCATCTCATTCTACTTGTGTCATTTTTTTCTCTCATTTCACTTGTGCCATTTTCCCACTCACTCCACTTGTGCCATTTTTCACACTCATCCCACATGTGCAATTTTTCCCACTCATTTTACTTGTGCCATTTTTCCCACTCATTTTACTTGTGCCATTTTCCCACTCATTTCACTTGCAGCATTTTTCTCATCTCGTTCTACTTGTGTCATTTTTCTCTCTCATTCAACTTGTGCCATTTTTGACACTGATTCTACTTGTGCCATTTTTCACTTTTATTCCTCTTGTGGCATTTACCCACTCATTTCACTTGTGCCATTTTTCCCTCTCGTTCCACTTGTACCATGTTTCCCTCTCATGGACTTGCGGTTACATCACTTTGAAACACCGGTTCTTGCACGATCATCGAATTTAAGCAACGCCGAGTTTGGTCAGTACCAAGATGGGTGACCGTGTGAAAATAGCAGGGGCTGTAAGATTGGATGTGCGGGTGTTGTAATGGATTCTCGTTGGGTTTGTTATATTCACTTACGCGCAAATTACTCTGGGAAAGGTATGAATCCACCTTGTCTCCCTCCAGATGTCTGCTTATTAGTAAGATTTGTATCACTAAAACCATTACCCCTCCCCCACAAAAAAAAGTTCTTAAATCTAAAAAATATTTTCTAGCTTTAAACAACATGCAAAATGTTGATAAGTCGTAAAAAATGAATCGATCAATCTTCCCTCTGGGATGCACTTGTGCCATTTTTTCCCTCTAATTCCACTTGTGCCATTCATATCTAAATCAGAAGGAAACAGGTGGAAGTTCTGGATCACATAATGAAGAAGAGGGTCTTGTAGAATTTAATACTCATAGAACATCATACTTAAATACAATCGTCAGGTCTGAGGATTGTGCTTAAGCATGAAACAGACTGTCGCCTCGGGTGTTGACTTCAATGTCTACTTTTAAATTTACATTTTGCTCTATCCCTGATACTGAGTACAATAACCCATAAATATAGCACACCTTAAAACCATATATATATACACACAGTTAGATAGATACATAGATAGACCGACAGATAGATAGGTAGATGGTGCAATGGATAAATTGTCGTCTAAATTACGCAAAAATGAAAATAACCCTGAGATTTCATTTTAAGAGATATAATTATCAAAATTACACAAAAATATCTTGAAATACTAAACAGTAAATTTATTCAATATAATTTCCATTGGCTTCAACCATGGCCTCCAGGAAACTTTGGAATCTCCTGCAACTCTTCTGGAGGGTCTCCTTGTTTAAGTTGGTGAATGCTGCCATAATTCTGGCCTTCAGTTCATCTTTGGTATTACAGAGTTTTGTTGGTCTCTCGTTCAATTGCGCCCCTCACATACTAATCAAGCTGGGTGCAGTCTGGGGAATTAGGCGGCCATATGTAAAGGGTGATGTGGTTGCGGAAATTGTCTGACGGCCATGACTGGGTTCTCCTGCTTGTTTGTCATGGTGCAGTGTCATACGGTCTTCTAGCAGCCACCCTCTTGACCCAGAGCAGCACTACCTTCTCGAGGCATTGATGTAGGCCTCCGTGTTGAATCTGAGGCCGTCACCAATAAATTCGGGTGTTCTTTTCTTAACAGAACGATCAGAGTGATTTTTTCCGAGTTAGCGTATCTTCATAATCACCATTGAACTCATTGAGCTCTTTCTGAATCCTCTTGCACTGTCCTCAGATTGACATCCAAATACTCCGAAATGTTCGTATTGGATCTTCCGTCGCGAATGCCAAGCAGTATAGCATGCCGTATACAACTTTTGGGCGTAGCGAATTGCGTCATGGTGCTCTTTTTCTTACAGACGGTGCCCAACTGACCCTATGTTGTAACCTAGAAAAGCTTACTGAATAAGGAATAACCAAAATGCAATAATTGCCAGCAGCGTGAAGTAGGTAAACCACTGCTAGTGATGGACTACTTAGACAGCATATTACGATATTTACCTGCCTCCCCACGAAGTAGGATGCAGTACAAGAATCAAATTTAATGTAGGGAAATCCGAGCCCGTGGACTCAGGCAAAAATTGCCCGTAGACCCCGCATACGTGGGA